CCACACTATATTATACCATTCTATTCTACTATGACATTTCATTCTTTATAATTACATTTCAGTTTATACTATACAATTCCATTGTAAACTGTTACATTCCATTTGATACAATTAAATTTTATATATGTATATAGGTATTGACACCCACAGTGCCCTAGGCAGTTTCTCTGCAAAGTTTAAAATAGCTTAAAAAAGGTATTGGGAAACTCATTGAGAAAAAGATTGCAAACATATAAATATACATACAAATTATACAATCACCATAGTTTTGATGTTCACAGCCCGATACAAAAATGACTCAATGAATGATTATTATAATTATAAAAAAATAAAAAAATTATTGTTTATTTTCCTATCAACATAATTTCACTTCATGTCATCCTCTGTTTGACCATAGCCTTTGTTTAAGCCATTGTTACTTTGTAAATCAAAGTTACATAGTTTAAGACTAATATGTTACCAGCAAAACATTGAGAGTTTTATTGACAATTAAATATAAGGGAACATTTAAGTTGTGACAAACATACTCTGCTGTACTTTTCATACATCCATATTTCATTTCACACTACAGACACTGCAGAGCGAGACCAAGGAAGCATTTCGCTTCAGTTTGAACTATTCTGTTCTGTCCTTAAACCATCATACCACTGACAAATGTAACTGATATCAATAAATGTAATAGGTGTATCATTGCTGGGCAGGAAAAAAAATACAGAGCGACAACCACCACAGTTTAATCAGACAGCACTAGGACTCAGTGCCTATTTGTACTGCTATTCTGTTGTCATCATCAGTGACATTCACACATATAAAAGAGTCATAATTTGATTAGCTGTCCTGATTAAATAACAAATATTTATCCTAAAAATTACACTAGGTTATCAAAACTTTGACCAGAACTTTGAAATACTTGTTAGCATTTCTTAATATTTCCTAAACTTCTTCAGCATAGGTTTTATTCTGCTGTTATAACACTTGAGCCCACAGCAGCCTGTCATTGTCACATGGCAATGAGGTAGAAAGAGTGTGCATGTGCATGAGAGAGAGAGACCCAGGGTTACTATTATGAATATCAACCCTACAGTCTAATATTTCTTTCAGAGGAGGAACTGTGTTTGTTTTTTCTGCCACTTGATGGTGCTCTAATGCTGCTAAACAGGGATGTCAATCACAGCCTAGGGGGCTATAACCAACTTTTCAATGTATCTAATTCTGCCCACTGGGTTGTTTTGAAAATTGTAACTTCCGAAAAAACAGGGCGTACATTGAAGACTTTTAACTGTATTTTAATCAATTTTACACTCATTTCAATGACAAAGATATCAACCATGTCCAATCATATTACTATAAAGTAAGTCACTAAAAATAACATATTGCATGACAGAAAAGATGTTTCTCATTGTTTGCATTACATTAAGTAATAGAATTCTTAAAAGTAACAGTTTTTAAACTGTTTTCTGCTTATTTGCAGCATTTCAACAGATTTTTTCCCCCCCTGCCAGTACTTTCTCTGTAATTTTATGACTTTATTTCTTAAACTCTAAGTCCAAAGAGCTGTACCAATGGGTTTCTTTGATGTTCTACACCCTTATTTGTTCATGTTGTTGAAAAACCGAGGCATACTGTTGAAACCACACATCATCATCCCTTCTATCTGTGTTCCTCATCTTGCCTTTTCAGATCCTTCCAATTAAAGACTTCCTTCTCCTGGAGATCCTCATGCAACCTCTCTTCATACCGTGTGGAGTGATGACTTGTGTGTCAGTCCCAGCCCCCATACCCTATAAAACTACAGAATGTGGATCGGAGAATGGTGTGTCTTTGAGTGATGCTTGGTCAGAGGCTGAGCAGGAGAAGCAGAAACTAAATTCTGCAGAACTGCCAGCACTGGTGCACCTGTCCTAGACCGACACTCCCACTTTTTGAGAGACAGAACTTGTACTTGTCCCAATCCAGACCTTTAAGTCAGAGGGAAAATGGGCAACATGGCTACAGAAATCACTGCTTTTTTCCTGACCATCTCTGGATGGATCTTGGTGTCATCTACTCTGCCGACAGACTACTGGAAGGTATCTTCTGTGGATGGTACGGTCATTACCACAGCTACCTTCTGGTCCAACTTGTGGAAAACATGTGTGACAGATTCCACTGGTGTGTCAAACTGCAAGGACTTTCCTTCAATGCTGGCTTTGGATGGTGAGTTCATAATATAATGTTGTGTTGCAGTCACAAGGGACGACATTTCTTACATCAGTAAACAGACACAGTTAAATAAATAACCACAAATCTGTGAGCACACATCTGACAGATGTACTTCTTAGATAAATGACCTCATTTGTGAAAAAAGAATGTATTTGAAACTTGATATTTCATTTTCTACCTCAGCCTTGAGGCCACAAATGGCCACTACATTTAAAGCAACTAGCTACTACTTATTAAGCCCTCCTTATATGTCCAATCAAAACAATCTGAGAAAGCCATACAGTCACAGAGAGGTCACTTGATACTTGATATTAGTTTTTCAAAGTTAAGAAAGCAATACTTCTGGCCATCTTAGTGTCCTTTAGACTGCTGTTTTCATTCCTAGGGGTTGGAGAGATCTTTTACCATCTATACATTTAAAAAGCCCAAAGTAACTAAAACACTTTACAACTTAAATTCTACAATTCTTAAATTTCTACAAGAACAAGATGTTAACACAACACTAAATGATAACATTTCAAGTGCAGTCAACTTGTAAGTGAGAAGTCGATATTTACACATCAATCAAACATCATGATTGCATTTTTCTCTACCTGATGAAACATTAAGCTAGCAATAATTAGTTTTACTTACATTTTATTTTTGATCATCTTTTAGTTTTTGCCACAATCTGAGACACTTTTCACATACGAGTCATTTGCAACACTCATGCAACATTTATGCCCATTATTAGCATTATTATTTCTGCATGTGCTCCAACCTTGATACAACTCTTAAGTATAGACGTAACCTTTAAACTAACTCCCTCACAGTCCACTCTGCAAAAAGTAAGCAAATGAACCAAGCTGGAAAGCATTTCAAAAGACCTTCCTTTTTATCTATTAAAATCAGGACAAACTGTCTTCAAATAGAGGACATTCAAGACTCTTATTAATAGTGGACAACTTGCAAACCACGTGTAACCCTGGAAGAGATCTTTTTTAAAAAGGCAAAACAGATGTAATTAAGATTTTTTTTTACATTGTATAAGCTGACAAAAGAAAAGATTACACAGGCATTCATAATTTTGGTTCTCGCATTGCAAAGTTATGACATCACATTAATGTGATTGGGCAGTTGCAGTGTTAATCGTAGACCAACTTTATTATGAAAATCAGTGCAGAAATCCAATTTATTCCAAGTGATTTATTTGCAACTTTATCTCAAATTTCCCTCACACAAGAATACATCAAACTGTTCAATATGAACAAAACAATTCTTTTTTTTCCACATTTGTAAGTCTGTTTATTGTTACGATTCATGGGCAACAAAAAAGTAGGGAACCAACTAATGTATAGCTCTCTTCTCTGTTTCATTTTTTAAGCGTACATCCAGGTGTGTCGGGGTTTGATGATCGCTGCTGTGAGTCTGGGTTTCTTTGGTGCCATTCTTGCCTTGGTAGGAATGAAGTGCACAAAAATAGGAGGCTCAAAGACAACTAAAGCTCGGTTGACTGTCCTGTCAGGCTTCCACTTTATTCTTAGTGGTAAAAACCATCCCATTCTATGTATGTCTGGATTTAATGGAAAATAATGTGTGGATTGAATTCTTCTTGAGCTAAGAACATTACCTTAGTTCCTTTTAATTTGATGTAGTAATCTGCTTATTTCTTTCCACAGGCCTCTGCTGCATGACGGCATGCTCCATATATGCTCACAGGATCACAGCTGACTTCTTTGACCCCCTATTTGTTGCCCAGAAGTAAAAGGATTCCCTTCACATGGATCAAAGACATAATCAGATGAAAGGAAGTCCAGTCAGAAATATCTTGGTTTTTTCATTTTCTTTTCTTTTTTCCTTGCAGGTTTGAGCTGGGAGCCGCTCTCTTCATTGGCTGGGCTGGATCTGTGTTGTGCATCTTAGGAGGACTTATCTTCTGCCTCAGCCTGTCTGAAGGCTTCAGTATCAGGCAAGTGGCTTGGTTTTGTAGATATACAGAATGCGAACAATGTGATTCCACATGAACAGCAAGGTCATAGTGGATCTGATGTGGATGCACTCTAAACTGCATGATTGATTTACTAACTCAATTGGGCAATTTAAGTAATTACTTTAACTGCAATAGACAGGCAAATCCAGTCAAAAACATCCAGTAATCTCTCAGCAACTTGCCGCATAATTGCTGAACCTACAAAGTAAATTGTATGATTGTACGTTATGTTGATTAGCTACTCCAGCTGAATGTTTCCTTTGTTACAGTTGCATAAGAAGGACCTTTTAGAAGTTAAAGTCACCTTGACTGAGGGGAGCTATTGAGAAGTGTTGCATGAGATGGGCAAAGAAAAACAGACTTTTTTTCTTTCGTTCCTTTTTCTTTTAAACATCCTAGTTCTTTTTCCCCACTTTTTGATAACAATCAGGCTGATTAGAGTGTTCTCACTGTATGAATACGGTGAATAGCAGCAATGGCACCTAGTATTGATTGGCAGTCAGTTTGTAATCGTAGTGATTATAAACCAAAAAAATGTGCTACTGGTACTACGTGAAAGTTTGTCTGTGCATGTTTTAATCAGACAACCTAGAGGCTTCTAAGAATGGCAAGCTTGGTTTCAAAGATCGGTTTAAAATTTTCCAAATTTCCATTAAATTCATGGTTCCCAGTGGAGGAATCCTAATGACTTCTCTGATCAACCAATTTTTAAAATAATTTATTCCATAATGGAGCTGAATTTGTAGCTTTGAGAAAAAATATCTTAACCAGTTTGATGAAATCCTATAGATTAAGTCCCTTTGGTTATCTTTGAACTCTTTTGAAATGCATGAAAAACTCAATATGGTTGTAGAACTTCTTAAATATAACAAGAAAGTTGAAAGGTGTAAGAAAAAAAATGTTTTGCTTGAAACAGAGCTTTGTAGCCTTTACTATGTAAATTTCCTGTTTTGACTTTTGCAGAGCTGAATACTCCTACAGTGGAGCTGCATCTTTTCCGACAACATGCAACAAGACCAGTAAGCCAGCCCAGAGGCCAAACAAGGAAACACAGGAGCCATTGAGGCAGTTTGGAAGAAATGCATATGTGTGAAACTGGACTCTTGTTACACGAGTTGATTTGAGAATTTAACAACATTTCATCATTTAAAACCAAGGACAGCATCCATTTGATTTAGTGTTCAGATTTAAATATGGCTGCCTCATTTCTGTCATAAACTTAATTATGAAACATAAGCATTGAGAGTAGGACATTTAATTTGACATAACATGACATTCAACGTCTTTAATCACCTTTAACAAACTGGCTTTTTCACCATCTTATGGATTGTTAAAACATGTCAAAAATTGATAGTGAAACCTTTTGTTTTCTTACATTTTCTTAAATGTTTTATAACTAACCATTGGCATACTATGACTGATCCATAAATTAAGTAAATGAATTAACTGCTCCAGCTCACAACGATACAAATGTCTTCTTGTTAAAAATGAGCATTTTGGTACTTTTTCCTAAAAGCCTGCATAACTTATAGTAGTTTTATCTTTGTATAATTTACCATCTCTACAACCAAATAATAGGTGGAAGAAGTGCTTTTCTAATTTTCCTAGTCTAGACTAGTTTGACCTCCAAGGCTAACTAGGTCACATCTGACCCCGGAGATGCTTATGTAGATGTGGACGCCCAACCGGAGGTTTCCCGTCTTATCAGCCATCCATCTCCACCTAGGAATATAGGAACCCTGGGCTATGTTACGCAAAACCTCTTGGCCCAGAGGGTAGATACTTGAACCAGCTGACAGAGCGTAGATGTCATGTGCTTTCCACTGCTTTGCATCTGCGAAAAAATAGTCAGGTGTCCAGGGCTCAGCAGAAGGGTGGCTTTGTGTGGTTGTATGTCTCCTGTGTTAAAATGATAAATACATTTTAATTCAGTTCAATTCAATTTTATTTATATAGCGCCAAATCACAACATAAGTCGCCTCAAGGCGATTTTAGCTGGAACTCTCTTGAAATTCTTAAAAAAAAAAGTTGACAAATATCAACAGCTTGCAATAGCTTTTGTCTAAACTAAAATCATTACAACTACACATTTCAAAAGAAACTGTTGTATCCTGAATGTCTGTGACTGAGAATCATTCAGTCATCTAAGTTATGGTAGTCTTCAGAACTTGAAAAGAAGTAACTGAATAGCTCATTTAAAAATACATTTCTTCCAATGATAAACTTAATGAATTCTAACATCAACTTTCTTTCAAACATTTCTAGACTAATCTTCTAATGTTGCTCCTTTTTCATCCTTCATATAAATTAAATACATATTTAATTTTACATATTTAAACCAACACAAAACCAAAAAGAGTTTGTGAGCATGCCAGTAGCTTTTTGACACTAAGCTGAGGAACAGTGCTACCTTTCAAAGGTTTAGACTTTTCACCCACTTTATTAGGTACACAATGTGCTTGTTAAGTGAACCAATCATATGGGAGCAACCTAATGCTCAAACATCAGAATGGGGAAAAATAGTGTTTTAGGTGGCTTTGAACATGGCATTGTTGTTTGCTGTTGGTGCTAGACATGCCAGTCTGAGTATTTCAAGAATTTCTCGTGTAGTGGGATTTACCACAAAACCATTTCTAGGATTTACAGCGAATGGTCTGAAAAAGAGAAAAGATATAGTGAGGAGCAGTTCTCTGGGGAAAAAATGCCTTGTTAATGCCAGATATCAGAAAAAAACTGATAGGAAGGAATCTAGTATTTGGAAGGTCAGCACATGCATATAGGTTTATATTGGGAGGTTCTACTTGAATTGTTGGTTTTGCACCATTTCAATAAACAGCAGCAAACAGTATAGGGTAGCTGTGATCTCAGTGTTAATGTTAATGTCTGCTTTAGTATACTAGCATTTGTCAGAAGCATCTAAAACACACAATGCTAATTTTATGTGGGTTATAAACCAGCGGACTGGCAGAATTAATACAGTTTGGTATGTTTTTCTTTTTTTTAAGTTTTTTTAAGTTTTTTTTTTCATTTTTTCTGTACAGTCCAAATATCCTGCAGGTTTTAAGAAACAAAGTGACATACATTTCTGTATATGTCTGAAAGCCCATATAAAGGAGAGAGGACATTTGGGAGAGTTTGGCTAGTGAATTGTAAAAGTTGCAGGCTCAGGCGTTAGGCCTATTAAGTACCTACAAGGGGAGGGGCCTCTTTAGGGTTGATGGCTGGGAATCTAATTTAAAGCTAATTTAAACCATCTTTCATAAAGATATTAAGGCTGCCCAGCCTCCAAAATATCAGTATATTTCTCTACCACACTAACAATAACTTTAATATAAGATGGGGGAACTTTGGAACAAAAAAAGAGCTCTTTCATCTGAACTAAAAGAACATTCATCACTCCCCGGAACTCTCATTACCTCAGATTTAAGTCTAATTAGAGCAGCACAAAGACGCTATGCTGTAATTATGCAGCCCGCCACACAGTGAGGTCCTGGCAAAATTACTAATAACTAGCAGCTTAAATGCCGGAGGCAAAATTGAGAAGAATGCTTCAAGCAGCTTTATTACATATTTCAAGAAGACTTGTAAAGGTCACTCTTTTAGTTGAAATATCAAGCAATGTGATCTCATACGTTGCTTGTTATAATTTTTATACATAAAGTCTGATTTTATTATTTCAAAAATCAGCGGGCCAGAATAGCATCAGTTTAAGGGACAGTTTATCAATCTTTTGACTTATTGGTAGGGACTACCTGAGATAGACTGGAGATCTGCCTCACTCCCTATAACAGCTGGCACAGGCTCCAGCAGCCAACCAACCCAGAATTAGGTAAGTGGAAGAAAACAGACGGATGGAAGTGTTGTGGTTATGACTTGTGTGACTCAGTGTGTTTTTGAGGTTGATTCTAAGTGATTCTTGTTTTGTTTTTTTAGTGTTTATATTGTTGTTATATATTTTTCTCCTTTAGTATATTCAGTCCCTAGTTTCTTTAGCGTTTCATTCCTGTTACATCAACTCTCCTTTATTAATATCATTTATGTGGGACCCCATATGGAAAAGAAATAGAAAAAACTTATAAAAGACTTGCATCAGATGTGGCCTACTTCATATAGTGAATCATATAAGGCTTATATGATTTACTCATGAAAGTGGCCACTTTCATATATTGTTTTAGTAAGTATCCAAAACATACAAGTTTCATTTATATAATTTTTTATATATATCTGTTTTCACTCTTGTATGTTTTTCACACAAGTTTCACACAAGACAGATAGAAACTTTATAATATATATATATATCTTTTCCATATGCAACAGGCCATGTGGTCAAATGGTGGAGTGTCCCAGATATAAACCTAGTGGGAGTATCCCCCCACAGAGGGACAAAAGGACCCCCTAATGATCCTCTAATCGCCTGAGCCAAGGTGTGATAAACCTAGTGGGATTCTCCCACTAGGTTTATATCTGGGACTCTCCACCATTTGACCTTAGAACTGAAGAAGCTTCTCGGATGAGAGGTGAAACGTCTTCAAGCAACTTAAAGAAGTCCAGACGCTTTCCTTGCAAGCTTCTTTGACATGCTATATTGTATTTAGATAGAAGCTAGCGAGCTAACTCCCTGCTAACTTCTAACTCCATTAAATGTCATAAATTCAGTTTTCATGGATGCCTGGATGTTAAACTCAATTGTTACACCTGGTAGAGCAGAACGCTGATCATTTTATTAAAGATGAAAGACTTTAGACAGTTTTTCAACTCTCAGTAATGCCATAGTGATCGTTTGATATATGGACCTGCAGCGGAGTTTAGGTCCAGACACGGCTAGTGACGTCAGACTGAACAATCGGATTATTGAAAAAAATATCAAGCTAGACCTTTACATCCTTAGTCTGGCAACCCTTCCTTAAATTGTACCTTTTGACCCCAGCAGTTGTGGAAGATGCAGAAGAAGTAAAGAAATATTCTAAAATCTCTCTTTTAATTAGGTAACCTTTCCTATTCATTATTTTAAGGTTTTGTGATGTTTTTAAATTCCATGCTTTTTAGCTATATTATGGAGGGAACTTAAAAAGCCTGATATAAAAACAAATCTCAGTATTAATTATGAATTAGAAAAGAAAACGCCTCATGCTATAAATAGGTCCTTCTTCTTTTAAGCTGTCTGAAAACAGTGGATATGATGTCTCCAGTAATTTGAGATACATGCTAAGGTAAGCAATCTCAGGCCCATGAGGACCTGCATTACTGCTTTATCCCACACAGACATGCAAAAAGAAATATCTGGAAAACAACACCACACATCCCCTTTTTTAAACATGATATTCACTTCTCTCTGAGAAGAGCATTTGTTTGAGTTTGGAGACCGAGGACTGCTTGAATCACCAACTACCATCTTAAAAATTAAAAAAGAAACTCAACAAACTGGTGGTTTGCAGTTGGGTGAAAAAGGATTCAAGCTTAAATAAACAAAAGCTTCTGGGTCAGAAATCTAGAAAGGAAACAACAACAATCCATGCAATGAAAATTCGAGTGGTTCAGATCTGGGGGTTCCTGATGACGGTACTGGGTTGGATCTTTGTGGCCTGCACTATGGCAATGGAGGGCTGGAAGATTGCCTCCGTTGGGGGCATGGGAGGTTCGGCTGTCATCAAGGTAGCCTGGCACTGGACTAGTCTGTGGAGATCTTGTTTTACAGACTCAACTGCTGTCACCAACTGTAAGGATTTTCCTGTACTCTGGTCTGTGGAAGGTATGTCAACATATTCAGTATTCAAGCTGTATTTATTCTCATTTGCAAATCAAGAATGTTTATATAAACCTTTGTCTGTCCTTTATTGTCACTCTAGACTATGTCCAAATAGTGAGAGCCCTTTTGATGTCGGCTCTTTCTGTAGGCATGCTGGGGTTTGTACTTAGTCTGCTGGGTATGGAGTGCACCTACATTGGAGGAAAAGTACAATCAAAATACAAGAAGATCTACATTGGTGGATGTTGCCACATCATCAGTGGTAAATGTCTAACTACTATAAAATCATTGGGTGTGAATACCATATTATCACTCTTTTAGAAGGGATGGCTTCTAAAAGTACACAA